AATACGACTTCCATGTATATGCTACTACAAATCAGTGAATGAATGTATAGAGGGTATTGCAGCACTATGGTTCCTGAAGCATTTACCACCTTCAATGGGTCATTAACTCAATAATTCAGCTTCTCCCCATGTTTATGGGCATTTCCTTTAGTTCTCCAATCTCTATCCAAAAACATTCTAACAAATTTCAATTCACTTATAGCACCAGCATACTCCATGGTGTTTCAGAGGGTATACAGTATAACATCAGGTCCTGGTCCTAAGGAGCTTACAATCTAACACACATGGTCATTGTTTTGTGCAAATGGATTAACACTGAAATATGTTTTTATTGTGGAAAAATTAATTGCAGATAAAAAAGGGACTGGTAGGGCCTCGTGGGCTGAGTAAGCTGCTGTTTTTTATATCAACAAGGCATAAATAAACTCTGTTCCTGTCTATCTGGAAATTTGGGGTTTTCCCACCCACTTTTGGGTTTTCCAGCGCCTCCTGTTATAATCTACATAATATACAATAAAAGAAATTCCAGCAGGGAGAGTAGGAGCCCATCATAATGGACTGCAAAAACAGAGAATATACCAATAGATTCCCAGAGAAAGAAGAAACTACGGAAGATTTTATAGGGGAGTCCCAGACAGGGCTTTTAAAACTTTTAAAAAGAGAACTATAGCCAAACCTTTTTTGGCCATAGTTCCCTTTAGGGTCACAGGAGGACATTTACCAATGTCCTCCTGTGACCCAAAACTCAGCATATAGCAGGCTATTGCCCACTATATGCTGACAGCACAGAGCCGTGCTGCAGCCGGGACAGATTGACAATATTGTTAGGATCCACCCCACTACCTGATTGGCAGTTGGCTCTGCCTCTCTAGAGCCAGCTGTGCCCGCCCCCTCCCCTTTCTGTCTCTCCAATGAGCACTGGAGGAACAGAGAGGGGAGTGGGGAATGCCTGCAGGGAGCGGTGACTGACGGTCACCGCTCTCTGCAGAGAGAAGATCATGAACTGAGCGATCAGCAGTATGTGATCGCTTAGTTCTCGATCAATAGACCCGACATATGACAGCTTCAGTGTCATACGTCGCCGCTAAGTATTGCGTTAAGTGCATTTCACTCATCCCGTAATTCTTCTTTATTACTTTGGACTTGGTGTACTGCAGGATTTTCTGTTCAGACTGTGGTTTATGCTTCAGGGTGAGCGAGGACAAGCCTGTCTGGTGTACAGCACCCAGTGGTCAAGGAGGTCGGCTAGTTTGAGGAGCGGCAAATACTTCCTCGTGCAGGTATAAGAAAGGGTCAGGTCCTTAAACCTTCTAGCAGCTAATAACCAAAATATCAGTCTTGGGAAGAGTGACCCTTTAACTGCAAGTAAAAACTTAAAGTGGGCAAAGTGAAAAAATTAAGCACAGTAAAGATTTAATCAATATACAGGACACACGGCAAATAAAGGTAGACAAAAAAAAAAGAAAAAAAAGGTGAACTTGAGCTTTAAAGACCGCTCATTCTCCATAGCAACAGAAAATGTCAGAGCTTCCTCTCCCCAGAAGCCCCATTAGAAATCCTTGTTCCGCTCTGTAGCTTCACCCCTGAACTGGACATCTGCTGCAGAGACTAGGATGAGCAGGGAAGAAAAAAAAAAATTACATCTCCTTGCCATCCGGCAGAAGCCTGAGAAAATGCAGAGCAGCCTGTGGGGAGACAGTCAATGCAAACCCTTATATTCAATGCGCTAGCATGGATACCGCCTGCTCTACAGCCCTCGCTAATGCAAATGGTTAACCACCCAGCAGAGATAATGGTCTTGAACACTGCTCTGCAGTCATTTTCCCCAATTTGTCACACAAGCTGAGCTGTCGCGGCTCAATCAGGCGACGCGCTGGTGTTTTGAGCTCTCTCCTGCTTCTAATACCATTATTTGGTTCGGTATTTTTCTACAAGGGATGCAGAAACATGCAGAAATAATGGGTAAGGCTGAAATGCATCTGCAAATGGGTCCTAATTAGAGTGACATACGCGGCCTCGGTGCCACGGGTGGAGGTAGAGACAAATGTTAGAGCAAGCTGCTACTGCAGCATCCTTCTCTTAAATACTAAAAACAAGATCTTTAAAAGGCAACAAAGTGAAATGTAAAGTGGCCCCGGTCACTGAAATTTAAATGTTACACAAATCAATAGGGTCCATGCGGGATAGGGCAGCGCAACGGCTTAGAACCTCTGTCATATAGAACTGGGGGTCCCCAATTCAAGTCCCAGTTAGGACACTACCTGCATGGAGTTTGCATGTTCTTCCTGTGCTTGAGTGGGTTTCCTCCAGGTATTCCGCTTTCCCCTACACTCCAAAGACATGCTGATGGACTGATTTAGACAGGAGCCAAATAACAATAATAAGAAATAGGGACATTAGATTGTAAGCTCCTTGAGGGCAGGGACTGATGTAAATGCTTAGTATGCAAAGCCCTGTGTAAATTGTTGGCGCTCTATAAATGCCAATAATAAAAAGAAATGGACTTTGGCTGTCAGCCTTATGGATTTCTGCTGTTCCTAGCATTGTGAAAACACACAAGACAGACCCTGTTTGGTAGGCTTGCAGTGAGAAAAAAGAATTGGCAAATTACATTATCCCCTTAAAAGGTCAACGCGTCTTATCTGCTTCTTTAGGAACGTTATAGAGAATACGTGCTCAAAAGCGTCACTTATCTGGTCTGTATATTGGTATATGACGTAGTAAAAGTAAAATACAGTTATGTTGATCCCCTTATGGATAGACAAGGCAGGTGCCATAGAGGACAATAAAAAAAAAAAAATGTCCATTGTGAAATAAAAACACTTTGTCATGTTGTAGTTGATGAGCAAAAGGGAGGCAAAATAAAAAGGTCCTCAAATATCCTGCCACTCCGAAAAGTAATTTTAAATATAGCAATAATTAAAAATGTATGGAAAAGAAAAAGAAACATTTAAATACTTATTACTTTGCTTTTACCTGCATTTATTATTCATTCACATGCCTCTAAATTTGCTTGAAGAGTTGTTGACTGCAAAAGGATTAATTCCCTAGCACAGCCCCCTCCCTCCTCTGGAAGTTTCTAATCTCTGTGTTGGCCAAGCTCCTCTACCCCTTCCCACATAACCATTCATGTAGCTGCTGGGGGAGGAGTGAAGGGCAATACTATACAGTGTCACTGGAGTGACAGCAATGAGCCTGCTGGGGCTGCTGGCATCACATCCAAGGTGACCGTGCCCAATAGCAGTCTCATTCCACAAGGGAGGCTTTTACAGGTAAATAAAGTACTTTAAATGCACATACAACCTTATGAGAAGATTTTTGTTGAAATTAATGGTCTGGAAACGGGGTCTTTTTAAATATAATAAACCATCCCAAATAAGCTATTCAAGGAATGATCACACTTTGTTAGCATAAATAATTATAAAACATGTATAAAACCAAGACTACAGTGCCGAGTATGCCAGAAGCCACTGACAACCGTCCCTCGTATCTAGTGACTGACCGGCATGAGCAAGGAGGTTATAGCTAAAAATCAACAGAAACGGTGAACAGCTCAACTGTTTCCCACCCTGATGGGCAGATTGCTTTCTCCCGTTTCCCGCCCCGCAGATTGCTTTCTCCCGTTTCCCGCCCCGCAGATTGCTTACTCCCGTTTCCCGCCCCGCAGATTGCTTACTCCCGTTTCCCGCCCCGCAGATTGCTTACTCCCGTGGCCCGCCCCGCAGATTGCTTACTCCCGTCTTCAAGACAGTCAAATCATAGATGTGAACTGCACCACTGAAATGGTTACAGAAATGCCCATGTGTTTTACATGCAGTTTAGGGCAAACATGTGGATACATCAAATTTGATCGACTAACATCATCGTAAGGTAGTTCATAAACTTTCGTTCCAACATCAGTGCAGGCCAGGTCTTTCTCAGAACAGCAACGAATTGCTTTCTCGACACTGACTGCTGGGAAGGAGGTAGCAGAGCTTGTGCACAAGTGACATTGCACCCAACTTTATGGCAACAGCGTCTTCACCAGTACCCTTCACCCCTTCTGCGTGGTCACTGGCAGAAACGGGAACTAGTGAAATCTTCCCAAGAGACTTCTAATGGAGGGTAAACCCCAATTGGTGTCTGGCCTACTCACGTAAAAGTAAGCCTTCAAATACAGGGTCAAGCTACAGTACTGGCACATCTCTAGACCTGGAAAGCCCTCTCGGCAGCCACAGACCAGAGTTTTGGCTGTAAAGCACTTTAAGCGAACCAAGGATCTTCCAGACTCAACCAGCGTGTTTTTTTTTTTTTTTATGGAGGTCAGCAATAAAACATGTTAAAGGGGAACTATGAGATGAGTGATTTCCACTCACCTCATAGTTCTAGCCGACCTGTGACAATGAGACTGTCACAGGTCGGCTCAGTAGATCGGGAGGTGAGCGAACACATACCAGGTTCGCTCACCTCTCGATCCTGTCGCGGCTCTCTGCCGTGACAGGGGCTGGATTCCCCTCTCCGATCTGCCAGCGCTGACTGGCGGAACGGACGGGGGAGGGCACAGCTGGCTCTGCCTCTAGATAGGCAGAGCCAGCTGTCACTCATGCAGCTGGGCGGATCCCGTCAGCTAAATCGGAATCCGCTCCGGCGTCTCAGTATACCGCGAGCTGTAGCTCGCGGTATACTGAGCTTAGGGTAACGGGAGGACGCTAGTTTGTGTCCTCCCGTTACCCTAAGGAGAACTATGGGGAAAAACACTGACCCCATAGTTCTCCTTTAAGAAAAAAATTGCAACATGCCTCTGCAATACATGCACATTGCCACGTTTCATCCCTTTAAACCTTTCACTGCCACAGAGGCATGTAATATTTGAAGATTGAACATAAACTCAATTAAATCAGCTCAGAGATTTTACAGGAATTGTACCCGAGAAGGAAACCTAGAGCCTGTGGCTCTATGATAATCCATACCCTAGGCTTTATAAAGTCCAGCCCAGAAATCATTACACTATTGCCACTTACCTGCCAAGCAACACCCAGTTTGGAGATCTCTCTGCCAGACATGCCTTCGGTGATTTTCGCCAGCTCTGAACATTTTTTCCCATAGTCAAACTGAGCGACTTTCAAACGCCTACAGGAAAGAACATGAAGCAGACTGTTAGAAAAGCCGAGGGGTGATCTAATGCACTGCAAAAAATGAGCTAATGGAGCACTTTTCTTTACGACGGAGAACGTACACAGCGCAGGACAATGGCTCTGAGGCCTGCAGGTACAAATCTGAATGTCGCAGGAGAACTGAAAAGCTATTACACAATCATGAAACTGAGCTCTTTATTCACACGGCAATTTGAGGCACCACAGTTCCTATTAATGTACGTGGTAGTCAAAACGTCAAAAAAAGGTTAATGCCTAAAAACAAATCTCTGTAAATATTCGAAAATTGCAGCCTTATTTATAATGCTTTAATTTCTACCCATTGGGATGACAATGTAAAAAATAAATAAATTTAAAAAAAGCTCATCATGCTCTCCAGATGGTATACATACATCCTACCTACAAGAGGACTGCATCATTAGTATAACGGGTTTCATTAAAGTGCAGTGTGATAGATAGAAGCCCAAGTTGGATTTTAACTGCTATCCAGTGCTCCTATGAGAGATTTCCCTTCATGTATTGTCACAGTGACAACAGTTCTACTAGACAAGAAGTGAAGGAAAATCTGCAACAGGGATGCAGACAGTAATAAAAAAAAAAAAAAAAAAAGGAGGTAATGTGGGTGCAAGACTACCTCGGACTCATTTATGGTGAAAGTCTGGGACTGGTAAGGAGAAATCCCAAGACACCAGCAAAAACCCAAACCCCTCCCGACTATTCAAAACTGAAAAATAACATTTTAGCTGGACATGCATTTAAATTTTGTGTTTTTTTTTTCTTGCCATGCTATTTTATGAAAAAAAAAAAAAAATCCCTATCTTCAGTTAGAATTCTGTCCTATAAGAATAAACCCCATTTATGTCTCCACTAATGATAATACTTCTCCCCGTTTCCTTCTCTGGGCTAACATGACCCATTTGTCAACGGTCAGTAAAAGGTGTGAACAGCTATAAGTTAGGCCAGTGGTCCCCAACCCCACCGACCGGTACCGGTCCGTGGATCAAATGGTACCGGGCCGCCCAAGGAACATTAAATTATTTCCATTTTATTTACTGTGGTGTATTTCTCTCGGGTTTGTCCGACTTTCCAGGACGAGAGGTTAACCGGGAGCTGAGAGACGTCACCTAAAGCCGCACCAATACCGTGCATGCGCAAAATATCGTGATATCGGGGCGGTTTTAGGTGACGCCTGGAGCTGAGCGGCTGCAAGCGGCAGTGGTGTTGTAGCTTTGGTAAAGAGAAGTTGTGTATCGCTCTTCTCTGTTCACCGGTACTTTCTCTTGTTTAACAGTGCTTAATGTACGTGTATATTGTGTTTGCTCAAATTTAACCCACAAATTAGCAACAATGAGTTCGAAACAGACGTCGTTAGAAAGTTTCCTTGGGAAAAAGAAAAGGCCCAGTGAAGAGACAGAAGAAGGGCCTTCAACATCAAAGAAACATGTAACTTTTGACAATACCATGAGTCCTACTTGAAATATGGATTTATCGGGACAGGTGATTCCAATCTAAAATATAAACAATCAACGTCCCCCCCTCAGCGGGCCGCGGTAAAATTATCAAACGTTGAAGGTGATTCCAATCTAAAATATAAAAAATAAAAAAATCAACGTCCCCCCCTCAGCGGGCCGCGGTAAAATGATCAACCGTTGACCGGTCCGCGGCGATAAAATAGTTGGGGAGCACTGAGTTAGGCAACCCAGAAGCAAATTCTAGCCATGGCTGAAAGGTTTGTATGAGGAAGTGGGCATTGGACCTTCATAGATTTTTACTGCTGCCTTTTCAGTTAGGACAGTGAGCAAGGGGCTGACCCAGGAAGCTGTAATGCTAAAGCAGGAAATAGAAGAAAAAGCTACAGAGAATGCAATAGACATAAAAGCATTAAAAAGATCACCAGTTCTATGCAGCATTAAAAAAAAAAAAACCCTTCTCGCTTTTCCTTTCTTTTCAAATTGGCTAAGTATTAGTTTAGGACCTGAGATGTTTGCCTCCAATGTCTGAATACAATCAGCCTACTTGGTAACATTGTCGACACTTACTGCTTGCCCTCGCTTGCGGGTTTTAAGACGTATTTATCAAAGTAAAGCCGGACCAGGCGCTCCCTCTCGTCCAGTCCAGGAAGTTGGAAGTTGACAATTTCATCTATACGATCGTTGATGGCCCAGTCAAACTGTTCTGGCTGATTACTGGCCAGCACCAACATAAACCTGAAAGAGGAAAGAGCGATACACTTTAATGAGCAAGTACCGTTAACCAAACCACAAGTCACCATCGGATTGTACAAACTCTTGTAGATCCACCAACTACACTGTGCACGCAATTGGACAAATAGTATTCTCAGTATTCATTTTATTGAATACTGTACAACATTTTTTTAAAGGGTTTTCTTTTTTCAATTTTAAACATTAACAAAACGAACAACAAAAGGGTAAAAACAAACAAAAACAGGGGTAAACAAAAACATGTAACAAATACACAGTGACACAAATACAGGATTACACTGTGAATGAGAACAATTAAAAGCCACACACACACTTTCCCATCTCATATAAACACAACCCAGATAACAGAGCGCCAGAGATGAAAGATACGGAACCCCTTAGAGTAACAATTCAAACCAAGACATTGTGCAGCCAAACGTGGATGATCTTTGCAGGGCAAACCCTTGTAGTATAGAGAAATTTAAACTTGGGCAGGGCCTCTTTAGCCAGTTTTATAAAACCGAAGTGTTCTTTGTTGAGTGGTAGAGGGTCCTTCCAATGAAGAAAAATAGTTTTTCTGGCATGAAGCCAATAAAACAGAAAAGGACTCTGGGGTAGGTGCCTGGGAAAATGTCTGCTATGGCTCTCAGAAGCAATGACAAGCATCAATGGGGCCATAAGGGCCCATTTACACCAGGCGCTGCGCTACATCACATCCCGGCACATTTAAAAAAATTGTTTTTGTTCTATGGCATGCTGTAAGGTGGTAGTACCGCATCATCTCCCGCTGTGCTGCAAGAAAGTACTGCATGCAGTACTCCTTCCAGAGTACACCACCGCAACATGGTAGTGTGAACATTGCCCATCTGTGACAAGGCAAACTGCCTTGGCTTGCGTTGGGGCTGCACTGCAAAAAACGGCCTGTTGTGAATTCACCCTAAAGCTGTACAATGCTCTTTGTCGAGCATAACAGATATACTCACCCGAACTTTGGCTGCTAGACCAGTCCCTGCAGTCTCTCTTCCCCTCCACTCTGGCGATGAAATGTCCCTCAGCATCCTCACCTCCAATACACTGTATAGGTTGTGATGACTCATGGGTTCTTAGGGGGGGTGTTGACCAGTCTAGCAGGCAGGCAGGCAGGCAGGACAAAGGTTCGGGTGACTAGGTCTTGGATATTTTATACCCTAGATGAAAACAAGCACTTAACCCTCGCAGTGCCGGGACAAACCCACAACATGGCATGACACTTTCTTCTCTCTGGGGTTCTTCTTTAAAGAGACACACAAAGTAGCTGTAGAGAAACCAATCCACTACCATGTCACATTCTCTCATGATGGAAAAATGGCAAGGAAGTATTGAATTGCTTCTACGACAAACACAGACTGTTCTTGTTTCAGACACAGTGATAAATAATGCCAGTCTTTGCTGCTGAGTCAATATCATAAATCATCCCTCCTGAATTTATGGTGCTCTCTGCTGCTTTAAAAAGTACAGAGTCTTCTATAAATTCAAAAGGATCACCCGAGACAGCCAATGGAAGGGGCGGCTGGAAACTAACTTATTGACTGAAGCTTTCTTGAACAAAAAAAAAATGCATTTACAATTATTTATATAGCGCTAACATATTCCACAGCGCTGTACAATCGTTTAGACAAGAAACACAGACAAGCATCATTGACATACAGAAACAGTAGGTGAGGAGGAACCTGCCCAAATTTAAACTAAAAACATCATCTGAATATTGTTTTTCCCCTGAATAAGATTGGTTTGGTTGTGTGTTCTTGAGTTTCTTAGTTATACTTTGACACATTATATAATAAGAAGAATATATAAATCTAAAAAAAATGATTTGCAACTTGTATAAATACATCATTTTTACTGGCCCCCAATGCTACCTCTCCCAACCCGAGTGCTTCTGTGCAGGGGGCTTTAAGGGGCCGATATAAAGTTAAAGTACTTACACAGGTTGCTTTTGGAAAAGAAAAGCCATAGCTACATTTACATGTCTACATGTCGTTTATATCAGCCTGGAGTTTAGCTTTAAATAGGATCTGCAGTTTTCTCCAGGCAATTTCCATGCCGGGTCTAACCCACAAACTCTCACTTCCGTTCAGACTCCATGAGGCTTCTTTGCATATTGTTGGACTTTAGAAAGGCAGCGAAGAAAGAATGCAGCAATCGAGCTCCATCATACGGACATAAAGCTCTTTTGAGCATTCCCTGCCCTCCAATATGTGGAATACCCCTTTAAATCAAGTCATTCTCTAACAGCAGTCCACTATTTCCAGTTGTGTATTAATACCAACAAATTAGGAACATGAACGAAAAGGGAAAAAAAAATAAAAAATTCTATAATTAGGAGGCGAGGTATCTTTTTATAGCTCTGACCTAGAGAAAGTTTTTTTTTTTTTTTACAAGGTCTATTACAGAAGTAAAAGGATATTCGATATTAAAAGCAAAAAATCCCCCACCCCTAAGACTTTGGCAGTCACTTCTGCTAATTGAATTACATCATTATTGAATTAGGACATCCAGAATGGTAAATGAAGTACCACAAGCATGGACTGAGGGGGGGGGAGCGTGTGTGTGAATCTTCACACAGAAACCATTACAATAGGCAAAATTAGCATTTACCCCAACATTCCGTTAACCCCTTTGTGACCAGGGGTGTTTTAGATCTTTGACCAAGCACTCCCAGCTGGGTGAGCTACTGCCCCTTCCCATAATCACCTTGTGGGGTGCAGCAAGGCAGCAAACCCCACTCCTTGGACAGTATGGCCAACGTACCTCTAGTACAGGCCTTCTTAAACTTTCTCCACTCGTGACCCCTTTTAGGCTGAGGAAATTTTTAGGGGACCCCAGCATCGGACGGTGTCTCTCCCCTCTTTCCCTCAACGTCGGAGTCCATTTACCCGATGTGACCCCGTCTTTTATATTTTATAAAAAAATAGGGTAATAATAAATGTTTCCTAACATAAATCAGGAGAAAGTGTTTTTTTTTTGTTTTTAATTTTCAGTACTATTTTCGTTATATAGTAAGAAATAAATCCCCCCAGTGGTGATTAAATACCACCAAAATAAAGCTCTATCTGTCCCCAAACAATGGTATAAAATTCATTTCAGTACAGCGTTGCATGACTGAATAAATGTCAAAGTACTGCAGCGCTGAATACTAAAAAATGGCCTGGACAGGAAGGGGTGTAAACACCGCGGTCATCGAGTGGTTAACAACCAAACTGTCATTTTCTCACACTGTAAATGACAAAAATTGAACCTTAGATTGGTTGCTATCGGCAACACATACCTATACTTGATCTTTGCACTTGGAAGGTAACGTTGGGCCTAATACATGAGATGTCTATCAAAGATAAACACCCTTGTTGCCTATAGCAACCAACCAGTTTGTTGACTTGTTTTATATCCTGAGCTGTAAAATAGACAGCAAGGGGATCTATGGTTGCTACGGGCAACAGGCAACTTCTACCAAATACACACTTCATGTAACCGGCCTATAAGAAGTGTTTCAAAAGACTCCAAACGCCGTCATTTCTCACACTGTACTTTAGAAGCCGAACCTCTTACTGGCCGTTATTGGCAACACGATGTTGTATATATTCACCATGAGACGTGGAAGAGAACACAGGGCCGGATACAGTCAATGTCTGCTAATGAGAAATGGCCAGAATGCCTTCAGCAACCAGAAAGCTTCCTTATGTGTTTTCAAACCTGGGCTGTACAATAGACAGCAGGAGGCTCTGTGGTTGCTATGGG